TGCGTGTTCCGCCCGACCCGGGCATTCAGGCCAGTCCGGCTGCCGCTCTAGGTGCTAGTGCGTCTGCTCCCACAGGTCCTGGTGAGGCTGCTGCCCTAGGTGCTAGTGCGTCCGTGCCCCCTGGTACTGAGTCGACTGCAGCACTGCACACCTTCACACTGGACTCAGGTGCCTCTCGCTCTTTCTTTCGTGACCGCACTGTCCTTGAGCCACTCGCTCGGCCAGTTGCTGTCTCCCTTGCTGACCCCTCTGGGGGTCCGGTCATTGCGACCTCCTCCACTGTTCTTCCTTGTCCTGCGGTCCCGTCCGGCACGCTTTCAGGTCTCTACCTCCCCTCGTTCTCTACGAACTTGGTGGCGGGTTGTGCGCTCCACGACTCAGGTGTTCACCAGTTCACCCCTGCCTACGAGCGCGTGACACACTGCACGTGTGCTCGGACGGGTCGCCACCTGGCTACTTTCACTCGAGAGCCGGGGTCGGACCTGTACACACTGACCACTGAGTCCCCTCAGGTAGCTGCGTCTGCGTCTACGTCTGCGTCTGCGTCAGGTCAGCTGTCCGCCCCCTGCTCGTGTCGCTCTCTGGCGCATGAGACGGTCCTTTGGCACCACCGCCTTGGTCACCCGTCTGTGCAGCGCCTTCGGGCCATGCACAAACGGGACCTTGTTGCTGGTCTTCCCAGGGTTCTCCCTCCCCTCCCAGACTCGCCTGCTCCTCCCTGTATTCCCTGTGTCGAGGGGCGGCAGCGCGCCGCTCCTCACTCCTCCTCCTTTCCCCCGACGACTGCTCCTTTGCAGACGCTCCACTTGGACGTGTGGGGCCCAGCCCGCGTCCGTGGTCAGGGTCAGGAGAGGTACTTCCTGATTGTTGTTGACGACTTCTCGCGCTACACCACGGTCTTCCCCTTGCGAGCCAAGGGTGAAGTCCCTGATGTCTTGATCCCTTGGATCCGCAGATCTCGTCTCCAGCTCAGTGAGCGTTTCTGCTCCGACTTCCCTGTCCTGCGTCTGCACTCTGACAGAGGTGGGGAGTTTTCCTCTAGCCTCCTGGAGGCCTTCTGTCAGCAGGAGGGCATTGAGCAGTCGTTCACGCTTCCGGCCTCTCCACAGCAGAATGGGGTTGCTGAGCGCCGCATTGGTCTAGTCATGGAGGTCGCTCGTACCTCCTTGAGTCATGCGGCTGCCCCCCATTTTCTGTGGCCGTTTGCGGTCCGATACGTTGCGCATCAGCTCAACCTCTGGCCCCGTGTCTCCTTGCCGGAGACTTCCTCGACACTGCGTTGGACGGGAGAGGCTGGCGATGCGTCGCGTTTTCGGGTCTGGGGATCCCGAGCTTTTGTCCGCGACACGTCCGCGGACAAGCTCTCCCGTCGCGCTGTCCCCTGCGTCTTCCTTGGCTTTGTCCCGGACGCCCCTGGTTGGCAGTTCTACCACCCCACCTCGCGTCGTGTCTTGGCCTCTCAGGACGTCACTTTTGACGAGTCCATCCCCTACTACCACCTCTTCCCCTACCGCACTGCCCCACTCCCCCCCCCGCCTCTCTTCCTTGCTCCAGGTGCTGAGGTACCAGACCCCCTCCCCCCTCAGGGTGCCGCTCCCTCAGGTGTGTCCCAGGTAGACCCGGGTGAGCCTGTCGAGGTAGCTGTTGACTCTCGTCCTGCTAGGGGTGCTGAGCCTGGGGGTGCTGCGTCTGGGGGTGCTGAGCCTGGGGGTGCTGCGTCTGGGGGTGCTGAGCCTGGGGGTGCTGAGTCTGGAGGTGCGGAGCCTGGGGGTGTTGAGCCTGGAGGTGCGGAGCCTGGAGGTACTGAGCCTGGGGGTGCGGAGTCTGAGGGTGCTGAGTCTGGGGGTGCTGAGACTGAGCGTGCTACACCTGGAGGAGCCCTCTCCTCCCAGCAGCTGCAGGAGAGGTACCTCGAGTACTGCCGCCTCCAGAGAGGTGCTGCTGGAGCTCGTCCCGGTACTTCCCCTCCTACCCAGGAGCTCCCCCCCATTCAGCAGATCCGAGAGTGGTACACACGGCGCTGCAGTCTTCGGAGTGGTGCTCCGGGTGCTGCGGACACAGGGGGTGGCGCTACTGCTGGTGCTGAGGACCCGGGCGTTGGCGCTGCTGCTGGTGCTGAGGACCCGAGCGGTGGCGCTGCTGCTGGTGCTGGGGACTCGGACGTTGGAGCTACTGCTGGAGTTGAGGACCCGAGCGGTGGTGCTGCTGCTGGTGCTGAGGACCCGGCCGGTGGAGCTGCTGCTGGTGCTGAGGACCCGGACGTTGGAGCTGCTGCTGGTGCTGAGGACCCTGCCCCTGGTGTCTCTGCTGGTTCTGGAGATGCTGCGCGGCCGCGACCGTACTTCGTACCGCTCCTTCAGCAGGTTCTTGGGCAGACTCCTCCTCCTTGTCCTCCTCCCTCCGTAGAGTGTCCACCGCCTGTCCAGCCGCAGTCACAGTTACCGCCTACCTCGCCTCTCCCTGCTCCCTCTCCTTACGCTGGTCCCACAAGAGGTCTTACAGAGCGTCGTGAGCCTGAGTCTCGTCGTGCGTCACCTGTTCGTACTGCGTGCACTGGTCGTCGTGTCCCACGCCAGCGTCCTCCTCCTGTCCCTGGCACTCATTACATGACTCTGCGTCGCTCTACTGCTCCTCAGCGTGTCCCTCTGCCGTCTCCTCCTGCTTCCTCTCTTCCTACTCTTCCTGACCCGGAGTCTGACTCCCGTCGTGCTGCCAGTCCCACTGTCACGCGTCTCCTCGCTACTGTTGTCACTGACCCTACCTTTGAGTCCTCTGCTGCGTCTGCTCTAGTCGCTGAGCTGGTTGACTTTGCTGCTGCCTGTCGTCTAGACTACGCTGCTAGCCTTGTCGCTGAGTCTGCGTCTGAGTCTGTCTGTCCTCCGTCCGTCGGGGGTGAGTGTGCTCTTGGCACGGACGTCCTTGAGGACAGACAGGAGGAGTTCCAGTGCCTTGCTGCTGTCTTGCCCCGTCTCGTGTCCTTGCTAGTTGCCCCTGAGGGAGACCCGGATGCACCAGACATCCCGACCCCGCGCACTTACGCTGAGGCGATGGCGGGTCCCTACTCCTCTCAGTGGCAGACAGCCATGGACGCCGAGATGGCTTCCTGGAAGTCCACACGCACCTACGTCGACGAGGTTCCCCCCCCTGGGGCGAACATCGTCAGTGGCATGTGGATTTTCAGGGTGAAGCGGCCGCCGGGTTCTCCTCCTGTCTTCAAGGCGCGCTATGTTGCTCGAGGCTTCAGTCAGCGAGAGGGAGTCGACTTCTTCCAGACCTTCTCCCCCACCCCGAAGATGACCACTCTTCGGGTGCTGCTGCACATAGCCGCCCACCGCGACTACGAGCTTCACTCACTTGACTTCAGCACTGCTTTCTTGCAGGGCAGCCTGCACGAGGAGATCTGGCTACGTCGCCCACCTGGCTTCACTGGGTCGGTTCCTCCTGGTACCCAGTGGAGGCTCCAGCGGCCGGTCTACGGTCTCCGCCAGGCGCCACGTGAGTGGCACGACACACTGAGGACGACACTTGCGGCTCTTGGGTTCGCGCCCTCTACTGCTGACCCGTCGCTGTTTCTACGCACCGACACCTCGCTGCCGCCGTTCTACATCCTCGTGTACGTCGACGACTTGGTCTTTGCCACGGCTGACACTGCGGCACTCGCCCACGTGAAGTCGGAGCTGCAGAGGAGACACACGTGCACAGACCTGGGTGAACTGACGAGCTATCTTGGCTTGCGGATCACCCGGGACAGAGCACGGCGCACCATCACCTTGACTCAGTCACACATGGTGCAGCAGATCCTCCAGCGCTTCCGCTTCACGTACTCCTCGCCTCAGTCCACTCCTCTGCCTACCGGTCACTCGCTCTCAGCTCTGCCTTCGGATGAGTCCGTAGAGCCGAGTGGCCCGTATCCAGAGCTTGTGGGCTGCCTCATGTACCTTAGCATCCTTGCACGCTATGTCGCTCCTGGCCGTCACAGGAAGGAGCACATGGATGCCGCTAAGAGGGTGTTGCGCTACTTGTGCAGTACGTCGGGCATGGGGCTTGTGCTTGGAGGGCGCGACCGAGTTGTTCTCACAGGGCACTCAGACGCTTCTTGGGCAGACGACCAGGCTACTCAGCGGTCGTCTCAGGGTTACACCTTCAGCCTTGGTTCTGGCTCAGTTTCTTGGCGCTCTACACGTTCTTCTTCTGTTCTCAGCTCCAGTTGCGAGGCTGAGATCTACGCCACAGCCATGGCTGCCCAGGAGCTACGCTGGCTGACCTATCTGCTGACCGACCTGGGAGAGCGGCCTCGTTCTCCTCCAGTGCTGTACGTCGACAACAAGGCTGCCATTGCCTTGTGTGAGGAGCAAAGACTGGAGCACAGAACGAAGCACATTGCCCTGCGGTACTTCCTTGCTCGAGAGCTATAGCCGCGCGGTCAGCTTTGTATTCGCTACGTGGCCACTGAGGCCAACACTGCTGATGTGTTCACCAAGGCGCTTCAGCCTTGTGACCATCAGCGCTTCTGCACTCTACTAGGCCTTGTGCCTACTGGACCTCACTTACTTACCTCTTGACCTTGCTTGTACTGTGATCACTATATATATATCTACCTGCATGTTTACTCTTGCTAGGTTGTGATCACTGTATCTCTTGCTCTGTTATAAACCTGCATGTGAACTGGTCTTGTGACCACTAGCTTGTGCTCGGAATTTGTGTGGAATCCTTGAGATCCACCCTGAGCTTGTTGTTGCCTTGCTTTGCCTTGACTGGTCTTGTGACCCCTAGGTCTCTCCCACCTTGCCTATGGGGGTGTGTCAAACATTGTATATGTTGTATTTGAGTAGGCTGTAGTGGGTTAGCCTATAGGGGGGTCACAACATTAGGGTTTCATATTTGTACTCACAATCCTTTCTAGTCCATCATTCCAGTCCGTTATTACTGACAGGTTTGCGGGTGGTAGTCCCGAGAAAGCGGCGAGCAGCCCCGCCCCTCCAGCAGCCGGCCACAGAACGATGGCGGCCCAGTCACAGCAACCTCCGCTGCATCATGACGGTTTCAGTACTCGGGGCGTTGCACCTGCGGGTCAGCTGGCCGGTGCGCCGCTTCCACCGCCACAGGGCTTAGAGGTGTCCGCCGTGGCGACTGGTGTACAGGCGGCAGACATGAGATCTCACTTGCTGGGCATCTCAACGGCGGGTCCAGGAGCGAGGGTGCGTGCGGCGGAGTTTGGAGAGGGAGAATCGGAGCGTACTGCATGCACGGGTGCACGGGCGCGGAGCTCCAAGTGGACTGGAGTGCGTTTCGACTCAGTGAGCGGTAAGTGGCACGCAGCCATTGGACTGGAGAAGGGTAGGTCATACTCTACGCCGTTGGGAGCGTATGACACAGAGGTGGACGCTGCTGAGGCTTATGCTGCTGCTGCACTGGTCTTGCGTAAGGGCTGGGGACCCCCACGCGGCTACGTCATGGAACTAAAGATCGAGGACCGTGCGATTCTCGATAGTATGACTCATGATGAAGGGACCGAGCTTCTGACGGCCAAAGCGTGGCACAAGTGGCGCTCTTGGCGCCGTGAGCTGTACCCGTCTGCCTTCCTTGCAGAGACCGCCGGCGGTCGCCCCCAACCCTTGTCTGCAGAGCATGCTGCCGCAGAAGAACGTGCAAGGGTGCAGGGACGGGCTGAGGCCGCCATTGGAGTGGCAGGAGGAAATGCCGGCGCGCGGCAGTCAACTGACACTCCAGCAGTGCGTGAGGTGGCTGCAGCGGAGGGAGTGATTGCATCACTTACAGCACCAGGCAACAAGTAGATGAGAGTGGCCAGCGTGTTCCTACTCTGAGTATGTTACACGATGCCTCTGCAGCGTAGGTCTTGGAACTCGATGTCGGTCTGTGAGATGGGTGAAAACTACTGTCGTGGCCTAAGTAGAACAACTCGACGATCTGACTGTTGGCTCCGTACTTGCCAGCCGCTCTGCCTAGATGATAGTGGTTCTTGTACACATCACACGCTGACATTCAAATGGCAATGCGTGCACCGCCAGGGATAAGGCACTGACTATCAATAAAGAGCTTGAAAGATTCGCGATTTTGCCTAAGGCACGGTGCAATTGTTTCTTAATGGTTAGTCAGACAAATCCATGTATTTCCAGTACATGCAACTAGGACTAACTGTAATGACTTATACTTGGAGTATTTTCGCAATATCTCATGCGAACCCATTACTTCAGACTGGACCAAGCCTCGGCGCTCGCGAACGGTAGGGTTCATTAGACTTCATGAAAACCACTTCCAAGCCCGAAACCACCAAGTCCGTTAGTTTTCGGGATTGCCCGGTTGATTTCGCGGGGATTCCGCGAGGGCCGCGAATAGTGCGTTACACCAATAGCACCAATGTCTTGTGTTGTCAACATAATCCCGATACAGTATAAACAACAAACAGTAACATTCTAATGCTAAAAAACTGACCACTAAGCCAATACCATAATACCTACAAAAAGGTCGCTCAACCTAAATCCGGCCGAAACAAATGCTCCCACAAAGTAAACAGATGGTTGACAACCATACGTAAACCACCCGTAAACCATACGTAAACCACCATAAAAAAAAGGTCGGATCCCAGGATGTTCTCTGGAAGGTTCGCACGCAGTAAGATGTAGTTGGTGGGATGTTGAAACCAAAGACAGTGTAAATGTAACATGCTATGCGACATTTACAACATTAAAAAAGAAGAAATATGTACAAGCAGACGAATCGAGCTTGCTAGCCATCGGGCAGCAACAGGCAGGATGGTTTTGGCGGGAACAGTTACGAAACTGTACGCGCCGCACGGTTGGGGATGAATTTGAATAAGGGAATGTACCCCTTAGAGTACATGGCTACTTAGGTCGTCTCGTATTCACCTGTACTCTTATTTATATCATCTTGTTTGCATATTTTTTTCATCACAAGCATTTACATTCACTCTGCTATTGAGGTCAAGGGCCCACCAACTATTTCACTGCGTGCGAACCTTCCAGTGTAGGTCCTGGGCTACGATCAATCTCTGATCGCAGCAAGTCTAATACATCCCCAACGGTGCGGCGCATACTATACATGTCCCAGACAAAACCGTACGTCGTTGCATAAAAAAACAGTCGACCGTCATCACTGATGCTAATAGCTATCAACGTTACTTCCAACAAAACAAACAATGTGGTGAACCTATAAACACGGTGCAAGAAGAGTTCATTTGCACTACAAAGGCAGACAAGGAGACGATAGTTTGGCTGAGAAAAACCCTTAGGACATTTGCAAGGGTGAACTCTAGGTAGGAACTGTGTAGTAGTGGAAGCGTTTAATAGAGATCCTGTGAGCCACCTTGCGCTAGTATGTGAGGGCAAAGTGGATTAATTATAGCCAGGAAGAACAAGATCATCCAATAATACAAGGAATATGAAATGATATGGTTTAGGGCAACTGATACTGCATATGTCGCGACACGACATAAGCGCTGTTAGATTTACTGTTTCCAACAACGAAAGGGACCCTATAAGGAACCACTAGGGTCTACCACACACCCTAGTGTATTAAACCACACGCAGTGGGATGAGATGCAACATCTCCTAAAATAGTAACCCCACTCAAATGACTTGATCACAACAGTATCAAATAAACTACATGCACCAACCAACCTTAAGTTGTAGGGATGTTCCGTTCATTTCAACCACTTAAAGCAAACCTCGGAACTACACCAGGCTGTCACGCAAATCCGGGTTGCCTGTAAAGCGGGCAAACGTCCGAGCCTCGCCTTTAGCCACGTCATTTGCATTCCACAATACCGGATCTCACTTTTCCAACTTAAAACTCGGGAGTTGACGAGATCCAGTGTAACCAACTTAGGCTTCACGAGTAGACGCCCTAAACGCTCGTGAGTTGACCGCGCTAAGGCCCAAGTTGTTCATCTGATAGCGCTGTTTGTGGTGCAAAGCGTGCAGATACAGTCGCGATGGTTAAAAAAAAAACCGACTCGGACAGCGACAAAAAAGCAGGCTATGAAGCAGACGACGTTGTCGATGAACGTAGCACGGCTAGATGCGCCCGCCCCGTTCCGTGTGTCCACGGTCGTCGTGGCGGATCGTCGCGACATTCCTCGAGACGCCATTACGCCACACGGCGTAAAAGTAAAACTCCCGGATCCGGAGACCCCTTGTCCAGAAGTCCCTGGTTTTCCAACGGAATCGATTGTGGACCATTACGGTAATTGGACGACGCTGTCGTCGTTTGATGCGCTCTCCATCCAAGACGGGGAACAACTGACATCCAACATCATTGATTTCCACAACATGTGAGTGGATCCCGCCTCGGAAACAACTTCATCTCCATGACTTTATAATGCATCATGATCGTCGCGGAATGTACGTGCCATTCGCTAACTGGTCATCTCTTGCAGCTTGCTAAACCTGCGACAACCTAGGCTACCAGACGGGCGGACATGGCGGGTGTTGTGTTCCTCGGCGTACACTCATTTGGTTGCGCATGGTGGACTATGTGGCGGTGAATCGGAACAGTCAGTGCTCGACGTGGATTACCTCTGTGTCGTCATCCACACGGGGTATGTGAACGCCAGCAATCTGCACCTTTCAAAGCGTTGCCTATCCCAGACGCATGGTAAGACGGACGATGCTCATAGCACCAATCATCCGTCTTCGGCTGTTTGTCCACATCCCATGTAGAAATGACAACGGCGGACACTGGAGCTTAGTCGTGGTCAAGGACCCTAGCCGTATACTGATGACGGATGAGGAATACAGCTCAGCTACGCGCCCCCTGGCTGTTCTCATGGATTCGACGAGCATTCACCGCGCCATATCTGTGCATATCTTCAACAACATTAAGATGTAGGTGTTCATCACCGAGTGTATGGCCCACCTGTTTTAGGGGGTTGCGTGTCTGTCGCGACAAGTTGATCCTTTCAGGTGAATCACATAACGATCCTATGTCCCTACGCAATGGCAGTTTACTAGGACTAGCATTGCAGCAACACCAGAAGGACCTCCATGCGGACGTCTTGGCAGCAAGGACAGCACGGCTCGAATGCATTGAGGCCCCGGTGAGTCACCCTGTGCAAACCCCCGTGATTCACCAGATTATTGTAAACGAGAGTTGGGCACTGTGATGCGGACTGACGCATGAGGCTCTCTGCGCCTCTTGTCGTGCAGACACACAATATACCGAGACAGACCGATGGATCAGACTGCGGCATCTTCGTGTGCATGTATCTACACAGGCTGGTGATTACGGCTTTCACTGTATTGTCGCAGAGCTTCACTTTCGTCAAGTCTCCACTCGTGTACAGGCGGGAGACCAGAGAAGATATGCTGGCACACTCAAAGGGTTTGCTGATTCGGAGGATGGTTGACGCGGGGATGAGTATTCCGGAAAAGAACATCGCTGCACTTCAGCGTTTCAGAGCGGAGGCAGAGGAAGTGGTGCGGTACGTTGTTGACAGGCGCCTCAATGATTTGGCCGCCGACCTCTGCATCTTAACAAGCCAGGTTCGCGAGTACGGCGTAGCAGTAGGGAGAGTTGGAGAGGCGGTCAAACAAGTAGCTGGAGCCTCCGCAGGGAGTGATGCGGTGGCCCGCAAACTGCAGCAGGACATCATGGGTATGACGAACCAATTGGGAGGTCGGGCCGTAGGTGGCGCGTCTGTCGCAATCCTGGAGTGCCTGAAAGACAACATGGAGGTTCCCGCTGGGAAGCTGGCGACCATCGGGGAACATGGGGCCGAGGAGAAGTACACAGGCGTTCGGTTTTGCAGACGGAAGGGTAAGTGGCAGGCTGGGATCGGGCTTGAAGGCCAGAAAACGAAAACCACGTTGTTGGGCAATTGGGAAACTGAGAAGGATGCAGCAGAGGCGTTTGCAGCTGCGGCGGTGGTGTTGTGTCGTGCATCTCGACCACGGGGTAGGATCATTGAGCTAAGCACTGAGGACCGGGCCATTATCGACCCCATGAAGGTCAGTGAAGGCGAGGCTCTCCTTCTTGTCAGGGCCTGGCACAAGTGGCGGTCCTGGCGCAGTGAGCTATATCCATCGCGGCAGTTGTCTGGTTACTTTGAGCGTATCTCCCCTCCCCAAAGTGCAGCGCGTGCTGGAGAAGACACTGCAGTGAGTGTGGGAGTAGCAGGGCAAGAGAATGCTGTAGTGAATGCGGGGGAGGGGGCCGAACATGAAAGCAGCGAGGACTCTGATGCGTGGGCCATGTTTGAGGGATGACAATAGTCGTGTGTGGTGCTGTCGTTTACTCATGGTCCCTGCATTTTGGATTGTTCCCACATGTCTGCGATCAGTGATAAGGGCTGACTGCCATAGTGGTTAGCCAAGAGCAATTGGTCGTGCTCACTACTTGGGTAGCCTGATATGCTGCTCTTCAGTTAAAGATTATGCACATGGCGTGGGACACGGAATTGTTAATGGATTATGGTGAAGGTTGTTGTGACTGGGTCGTAGGACTCTTATGGTTGTTCGTTTGGGTTTTGCAAGCGGTAAAGTTTGTTCCATGTTCAGGGTCACTACACAGTGTTCTATAAGTGCTCTGAATTGACCCGTGGTAGGTGTTCATAAGGACATAAAATTCTGCAGCGATTTCTAATGAGATGTATTTCACTCCACCTAATGTAATCTCGCGAGACAACACGAAGGCTCCTGTAGGATACTGAGCTACCGTTGCTGTTCATGATATTTCATCCGGATGCCGCGGTTAGCGCACGTGCGGAATCATGTAAACCAATGCTTGAAAATTCGGTTCCGTAACGAACACACGTGGTGGTTCGATGAATGTCATTAAAGCTAATGACCTTACGTGAGGCGCCAACGGTGATCATGTGCTCGAACTAACGTTGAAACATGTCCGCCCGTGCGAATCCCGGGGTTTTCATTTGTCTTCATGAGTCTGCCTTAGTCGTCATGGTAAGTGGTTTACGATAATGGATTGGTGGTCGCGCATGAACCAGTTTTGGCGCCGAGCTTCCACGACGTATCATGAATTAAAACCTGCACAATGTCTCCGAAAATCAGTAGTTTACACGCAGTCTCATGACAACTCGAACGCGCCCTTACATGTAATCCCACGTTTGCAACCATCGGATTCACGTGGTCCGTCATGGTAGCTTATGAGTTTACGTGTGGTTCAACCGTTGGTCATGCGTTCTCACGTCCAGTGATGGATGTCCGCACGTGCGAACCTCGGGGTTGGTATCTTGTCGCCATTTTAAAACGCTAGGGTTAATGGATATTGGTTTCGTTTCATGGATTGTATCTCGCGCAAGATCCAATGTTGGCGGTGGTTTTTCATGAGTTTTGTTTATTTGAAACCAGAACACCGCCGCCGATTATCAGTACTACTCACGGAGTCCCATGACAAACCGTGTCTATTATTGAATTATGGTTAGGATCCATTTACCTGCACCTGCACATAAAAGCCGGTTTCTTGAGTAAGCCATAGTAATCATGACCACCAGGGAGTATGCGCACAGGGTGCGTTGCATATCACCATCAACCAGGAGTGTGTAACGTGTTATTCCTCAAAGTAACAGCAACGCTTACCATTTAGCTGTACCATTAGTGTTTACTTTTACTCCTAGGGCATCATTCAGTAAAATGAGTCATGCATCTCTCGACTACGTGGCCATACAAATTCTAAACCGCGACAACCCTAGACCATGAGACCAATCAGGGTTGTATCGCCGCCACCGTCCCTCCTTCCATGAACCGAAGGTACGTTACCCACCCCCACTCATCTTCTTCCGTGCTTCACTTCCACTCTCCCTCCGTTGTTGGATGCTCGTGCCTGCTGGCATTGCAAAACGATCGTACACAATGGGAGAGTTATTGCAGAGAGGGAGGAGCGGCTTAGAGGAGCCCAGTGATGGCAGGCTACAATTATCTCCTGTGATAAATCTTGGCACACTCAACGACCTTCTTACCGTCGGTTGCTCACCTACGCCTTACCGGAGTGTGGTGCCCAGCTTCAGGTCTGAGGACGACGCCTCCTTGCCTCCGCTCCATACTGCCCCAAGCAGCGCGACTTGTTGTGGTCGTCTGCCCTGCAGTTGCTGCACCTGTACGTCTTCTTCGGCGGCTGACCCTCCATGCGCCTGACGGTCCTTGGGCGGCCCCGGTCACAGCGCTTGAACTGGGGTGGCTCGCACACACCCCGCAGTGGCATCGTCGTCTCTGCGACCATCCGATCCACGCACGAGCCATGGACAACCCCGGAGTACGTCTGGCAAAGCGTGGCGGTGGTGTAGAAGTCAGAGGTCCATGTCGGTCGTCTGCATCTCGCGGCAGAACGCCACGACATGCGAGCACGGGAAGGCGTACTCCTTCCAGTTGCCACACTCACAGTTCTTCTTGCCAGGGCGGAGGTCCACGTTGAACGACCTCCACTCGGCAAAGTCGTGGCTGCCCAACGTCCGCACAGTGCCGTAGCCTGGGCCGCCGATGGTGACCTTGTAGTGCTTGCTACGTTCCCGTTTGTCCATGAGCCGCTTCATAGCCTTATCGGTCAGGTACTCTGTCCTCGCTCTCGCACGAGCCCCACGCTCGTACATCTTCTTGCGGTACCAGTCCCAGAGTGCGGCGATCAGGTACACGGGGGGCAGTTGCCGGATGGGGCGGATGGCAGAGTTGACGGACTCGGCCGCGTTGCTGGTGTATATGCCGTAACGTGCGGTACGGGCGTAGACCCGTGCCCAATGCTTTGGGTGGATCCCTATGCGGTACTTCGAGCCCGCCTTGTTATGATGGAAGCCTGTTCGCGCTCGTGCAGGGCCGTCATCCTCTGCCGGCCGCTGTGGACGAGATGTGGACGGGTTGGAGAACCCGTTCTCGTCGGTTGTGAAAAAGTCCAGACCCTCCCCAATGACGTCCTCGTCGGTCCCTGCCTGGACACCCCCGCCGAGATCAGGCCATGGTTGTGTGAGATCCGGTTCAGCAGCAGGCATATCTGCGCCAGGGGCACCTGTCCCAGCTGCGTCGCCTCCGGGTGTCTCGTTGGTGTCCGCCCCCGTTCCTGCCGCATCTGCAGGCCCTGCTGGATCCGATGGTGGAGGGAACAAAGCTTGGGTTGTTCCAACTCCATCCGCAGCGTGCCGTCGCCCATGACCAGGGAAATAGTTGTAGCGAGCGGACAGTATGATGTCGTCGATGTCGAATGGCGGGCGGTGTGCCTCCAGGTTAGGGGGGGTCGGGACGACGATGAGGGGACCACGAGCTGGACGTGGGGTCCTGGTGTCGGGTGCCGCCTCGCTTGGCGCTCCAGCTGGGCCATTACCAGCCTCCCCGTCCTCTACACCGTCATGTCCAGCCGCCCCGTCCCACGCCTGGTCATTCCAAGCAGGCCCATCCTGTGTGTCGTTAAGACCAGCCGCCCCATTCTCTGGACCGTCATCCGCATCCGCTCCATCCTCTGCGTGCACATCACCCGCCGCCCCAGCCGCTGCAGCGTCACTCCCACCATCCACCTCCTCCTCCTCCTCGGCAACCCCTGCCGTCCCATCTGTCGCCGTCCTCCTCGCAGCCCGCCGCTGTGCTGCCTTGCGCTGACGTTGACGCTGGGCCCGTGCACGACGGCTCATACGTGCCCGCAGGCGAATCCGGGCACGCGCCTCCTGTGTTGTCTCTTCAGGGTTGCTGGCGGGGGGCGGGGCGGATGAACCAACCCCCCCGGGCGGTGCACGTGGCGTCTCCTCAAGAGAGCCTTCCACTTTGGCAACAAGCGGGCCTTGAGCATGCGCCAGAAGAAGATCTTCGCGTCAGTTCCCCACCGCCGGATGTTCTGCTCCAGGTGCCACCCGCAAAAGTAGTGGGGAATGGTGTCGGGGAGAAACTCCTTAGCTGCCGGGACCAAACCCTTGTCCCGGTCGCTGATAATCGCAGCGTTCTCCCGCTCCATCCATTCGGGGAACGTTTTGGTAAAGAGATCTAAGAACCAGGTCCATGAGTCCTTGTTCTCAGACTCTACAAGCGACCAAGCCAGCAGTATGATCTCCTGATTCCCGTCCAGGACAACTGCAATTAGCAGGGAGGCGCGTTGTGCACTTAGAAGAAAGGTGCCATCCAGCCCGACGACGGGTCTGCAGTGCTGCAACGCCACCCTAGACGCCGAAGGGGAGACAAACATCCGATGGAAGTGGCCGTTGTACGTGAGGATCTTCACCGATGAATGTGGGTCAATTGTCTTGAACCTTTTCGCGAGCGTCGGGAACAGTCGGAAAGAGTCGTGCCAATCCCCGTACACCTCCTTCTTGATCAGCTCTCGTAGCCTGCATGCAAGGTGGACGGCCTTGAACCGGTAGTAAACATCCACTTCCATATGGCCATCTACGACGGTGTGAAAGCATGGCGGATGCATCATGCACAGACGATGGTGAGAAGTGTAGATAAGGGATTGACTAACCTGTACGCCTGATGGTAGTTGACGATGGGGCCTTTGAGAGCGACAATCTGGGAGCATATTGTCTTGGGTGGCAGAAACGGGTCCGCACGCACGAGATTTCCGTAGAGTCTGTAGAGAACAGCTACCCGGTTTCCCAAGCTCCTCGCACCACGAGCCTTCAGGTCCGGCGGACATGTATGCACGCGGTGATCGCTAAGGGCTCGGATAACCCACAGGCCAGTATCTCTGTCCTTTCCGTACTCGCAGTACCACTCGCAAGCCGGAGTATAACCGATTGCGGTTGCATTGCAGATTATGAGAGCGTAGTTCTTGTCAGAAGAACTGAACGAGGAATGAATGAACTAGCAGTGAAATGAGTACAAGTACCTAACCCTAGAATTGTGTACCCCCTATAGGCTAACCCACTGCAGCCTAAACAAGCACAACATGTATAATGTTTGACACACCCCCATAGGCAAAGTGGGGGAGAGCAAGGGGTCATAAGACCAGTCAAAGCAAAGCAAAACAGGCTCAGGGTGGATCTCAAGGATACCACACAAATTCCGAGCACAAGCAAGTGGTCACAAGACCAGTTCACATGCAGGTTGATAATATAGCAAGAGATACAGTGATCACAACCTAGCAAGTGTAAACATGTAGGCATATATATAAAGATCACAGTACAAGCAGAGTCAAGAAGTAAGTAAGTGAGGTCCAGCAGGCACAAGGCCTAGAAGAGTACAGAAACGCTGATGGTCACAAGGCTGAAGCGCCTTGGTGAACACATCAGCAAGGTTGGCCTCAGTGGCCACGTAAAGCAGATGTAGCTGACCACGCTGCTGCAGCTCTCGAGCAAGGAAGTACCGCAGGGCAATGTGCTTCGTTCTGTGCTCCAGTCTGTGCTCCTCACACAAGGCAATGGCAGCCTTGTTGTCGACGTACAGCACTGGAGGAGAACGAGGCCGCTCTCCCAGGTCGGTCAGCAGGTAGGTCAGCCAGCGTAGCTCCTGGGCAGCCATGGCTGTGGCGTAGATCTCAGCCTCACAACTGGAGCTGAGAACAGAAGAAGAGCGTGTAGAACGCCAAGAAACTGAGCCAGAGCCAAGGCTGAAGGTGTAACCCTGAGACGACCGCTGAGTAGCCTGGTCGTCAGCCCAAGAAGCGTCTGAGTGTCCAGTAAGTACAACTCGGTCTCGCCCTCCAAGCACTAGCCCCATGCCCGACGTACTGCACAAGTAGCGCAACACCCTCTTAGCGGCATCCATGTGCTCCTTCCTGTGACGGCCAGGAGCGACATAGCGTGCAAGGATGCTAAGAGGGTATGCAAGGTCAGGTCGAGTGCAGGTCATCAGGTACATGAGGCAGCCCACAAGCTCTGGATACGGGCCACTCGACTCTACGGACTCATCCGAAGGCAGAGCTGAGAGCGAGTGACCGGTAGGCAGAGGAGTGGACTGAGGCGAGGAGTACGTGAAGCGGAAGCGCTGAAGGATCTGCTGCACCATGTGTGACTGAGTCAAGGTGATGGTGCGCCGTGCTCTGTCCCGGGTGATCCGCAAGCCAAGATAGCTTGTCAGTTCACCCAGGTCTGTGCACGTGTGTCTCCTCTGCAGCTCCGACTTCACGTGGGCGAGTGCCGCGGTGTCAGCAGTGGCAAAGACCAAGTCGTCGACGTACACGAGGATGTAGAACGGCGGCAGCGAGGTGTCTGTGCGTAGAAACAGTGACGGGTCAGCAGTAGAGGGAGCGAACCCAAGAGCCGCAAGTGTCGTCCTCAGTGTGTCGTGCCACTCACGTGGTGCCTGGCGGAGACCGTAGACCGGCCGCTGGAGCCTCCACTGGGTACCAGGAGGAACCGACCCAGTGAAGCCAGGAGGGCGGCGCAGCCAGATCTCCTCGTGCAGGCTGCCCTGCAAGAAAGCAGTGCTGAAGTCAAGTGAGTGAAGCTCGTAGTCGCGCTGAGCGGCTATGTGTAGCAGCACCCGAAGAGTGGTCATCTTCGGGGTGGGGGAGAAGGTCTAGAAGAAGTCAACTCCCTCTCGCTGGCTGAAGCCTCGAGCCACGTAGCGCGCCTTGAAGACAGGAGGAGAACCCGGTGGCCGCTTCACCCTGAAAATCCACATGCCACTGACGATGTTCGCCCCAGGTGGGGGAACCTCGTCGACGTAGGTGCGTGTGGACTTCCAGGAAGCCATCTCTGCGTCCATGGCTGTCTGCCACTGAGAGGAGTAGGGACCCGCCATCGCCTCAGCGTAAGTGCGCGGGGTCGGGATGTCTGGTGCATCCGGGTCTCCCTCAGGGGCAACTAGCATGGACACAAGATGGGGCAAAGAAGCAGCAAAGCACTGGAACTCCTCCTGTCTGTCCTCAAGGACGTCCGTGCCAAGAGCACACACACCCCCGACGGACGGAGGACAGACAGACTCAGACTCAGACTCAGCAACAAGGCTAGAGGCGTAGTCTAGACGACACCGGGCAGCAAAGTCTATCAACTCAGCGACCAGAGCAGACGCAGCAGAGGACTCAAAGGTAGGGTCAGTGACAACAGTGGCTAGAAGACGCGTGACAGTGGGACTGGCAGCACGACGGGAGTCAGACTCCGGGTCCGGAGGAGTAGGTAGAGAGGACGCAGGAGGAGACGGCAGCGGGACACGCTGAGGAGCAGTGGAGGGACGCAGAGTCATGTAGTGAGTGCCAGGGACAGGAGGAGGACGCTCACGTGGGACACGACGACCAGTGCGAGCAGTACGAACAGGCGACGCAGGACGAGACGCAGGCTCACGACGCTCTGCAAGACCTCCTGTGGGACCAGTGTAAGGAGAGGGACCAGGGAGAGGCGAGGCAGGCGGTAACTGGGACTGCGACTGGACAGGCGGAGGACACTCTACGGAGGGAGGAGGACAAGGAGGAGGAGCCTGACCAAGAACCTGCTGAAGGAGCGGTACGAAGTACGGTCGCGGCCGGGCAGCGTCTCCAGAACCAGCAGAGACACCAGCGCCAGGGTCCTCAGTACCAGCAGCAGCTCCACCGCCCGGGTCCTCAGCACCAGCAGTAGCTCCACCGCTCGGGTCCGCAGCACCAGCAGCAGCTCCACCGCGCGGGTCCTCAGCACCAGCAGGAACTCCACCAGCCGGGTCCTCAGCACCAACAGCAGCTCCAACGTCCGGGTCCTCAGCACCAGCAGCAGCGCCACCGCTCGGGTCCTCAGCACCAGCAGGAACTCCACCAGCCGGGTCCTCAGTACCAGCAGCAGCTCCAACGTCCGGGTCCTCAGCACCAGGAGCACCACTCCGAAGACTGCAGCGCCTCGTGTACCACTCTCGGATCTGCTGGAGGGGGGGGAGCTCCCGGGCAGGAGGGGAAGCACCGCGACCAGCTCCAGCAGTACCTCTCCGGAGGCGGCAGTACTGTAGGTACCGCTCCTGCAGCCGCTGTGAGGAGAGGGCTCCTCCAGGTGGAGTACCCCCAGACTCAGCACCCCCAGGCTCCGCACCCGCAGACTCAGCACCGTCAGGCTCACTACCCCCAGGCTCAGCACCCCCAGGCTCCGCACCTCCAGACTCAGCACTCCCAGGCTCAGCACCCCCAGACTCAGCACCCCCAGGCTCAGCACCCCCAGGCTCAGCACCCCCAGCAGGACGAGAGTCAACAGCTACCTCGACAGGCTCAACCGGGTCTACCTGGGACACACCTGAGGGAGCGGCACCCTGAGGGGGGAGGGGGTCTGGTACCTCAGCACCTGGAGCGAGGAAGAGAGGCGGGGGGGGGGGGAGCGGGGCAGTGCGGTAGGGGAAGAGGCGGTAGTAGGGGACGGACTCGTCAAAAGTGACGTCCTGAGAGGCCAGGACACGACGCGAGGTGGCGTGGTAGAACTGCCAACCAGGCGCGTCCGGGACAAAGCCAAGGAAGACACAGGGGACAGCGCGACGGGAGAGCTTGTCCGCGGACGTGTCGCGAACAAAGGCTCGAGATCCCCAGACCCGAAAACGCGACGCATCGCCAGCCTCTCCCGTCCAACGCAGTGTCGGAGAAGTCTCCGGTAAGGAGACACGGGGCCAGAGGTTGAGCTGATGCGCAGCGTATCGGACTGCAAACGGCCACAGAAAGTGGGGGGCAGCCGCATGAACCAAGGAGGTACGAGCGACCTCCATGACCAAGCCAATGCGGCGCTCAGCAACCCCATTCTGATGTGGAGAGGCCGGAAGCGTGAACGACTGCTCAATGCCCTCCTGCTGACAGAAGGCCTCCAAGAGGCCAGAGGAAAACTCCCCACCTCTGTCAGAGTGCAGACGCAGGACAGGGAAGTCAGAGCGGAAACGCTCACTGAGTTGGAGACGAGATCTGCGGATCCAAGGGATCAAGACATCAGGGACGTCACCCTTGGTGCGCAAGGGGAAGACCGTGGTGTAGCGCGAGAAGTCGTCAACAACAATCAGGAAGTACCTCTCCTGACCCTGACCACGGACGCGGGCTGGGCCCCACACGTCCATGTGGAGCGTCTGCAAAGGAGCAGTCGTCGGGGGAAAGGAGGAGGAGTGAGGAGCGGCGCGCTGCCGCCCCTCGACACAGGGAAGACAGGGAGGAGCAGGCGAGTCGGGAAGGGGAGGGAGCACCCTGGGAAGACCAGCAACAAGGTCCCGTTTGTGCATGGCCCGAAGGTGCTGCACAGACGGGTGACCAAGGCGGTGGTGCCAAAGGACAGTCTCATGCGCCAGAGAGCGACACGAGCAGGGGGCGGACAGCTGACCTGACGCAGACGCAGACGCAGCTACCTGAGGGGACTCAGTGGTCAGTGTGTACAGGTCCGACCCCGGCTCTCGAGTGAAAGTAGCCAGGTGGCGACCCGTCCGAGCACACGTGCAGTGTGTCACGCGCTCGTATGCAGGGGTAAACTGGTGAACACCCCCGTCCTGGAGCGCACTACCTGCCACCAAGTTCGTAGAGAACGAGGGGAGGTAGAGACCTGACAGTGTGCC